CAGCCCAATCATTTGTCTTCCCAGAATGAGCTAGCTCTCAACACCTTCTCATATGTTATCACTTTAGCTCCAGGAGTACTCCCTCGGATTATTTCCTCCATTTTACAGAGGAGAAAGCAGTACAGAGGAACTTGTAATAGTCTTGGCCCCTCCTAAAGTCCCAGATGCCGAGTGGAAAGGCTGCCTGATGAATGTGGTACCAGCACCTTTGGGACAGGCCACACAGCATAGCATGGCCTCATGTGCCCAGAGGCTGGCCACGTGCTCTCACCTGAGATGGCAGCCAAGGCACAGGGAGGGCCCTGTTCCAGTCCTGGCAAGTGTCTGTTGTGAGGACACACTTCTCCCCTGCATGGTTGGCTTTCTCTGCACACTCCTGGGAAGAATGATTAGTGATTTCACACTTCATTGGATGTTAATGTGTGGAGTTCACATAACCTCATTCATGATAACTCTCCCTGCCTCTGCACCTCTCACACAACCTTGTCATTGGGAGCATGTATCTATGGGTTCCCAGAGCAAGCTGGTTTGAGTATACCCATTAGGAGCACTATAAACCCAGAGTACCTGGCCTCTGTCCATCTAGGCTACCAGGCCTCAGTTTAGTTGACAGCATGTGACTCCCTTACCCATCTGGCTAACTTTTTGGATCCAGCAGAGATTTCTAGTCTTAGCCTTGCTCTGGAAATGGACTTCTAGGCACATGTGACGAAGGCTTCTTGCCTCATACTTTGTAGCAGGATAGACTCCGCTCTTGAGTGCCAGTGCCGGGAAGCTCTCTGGCACTGGGGCTGTTGCTCATACTGGATTCTCAAGGGCAGGTTTCTGTGGACTGTTCCTCAGTGATTCGAATCAGGGGAGAGAGGAGGAAGAATGCCCGTCCCTGTGTCCTGCAATGCTACTGTGAGATCTCTTTTGTGAACGTGGCCTTTATAGAAACGGTCATTCCAGAAAACAAAGTTTTGCTCCAGCATAATATTTGGACCTGAGCATATGCTCAGGTGCCCTGCCTGCACCTGGGCAGGTTTGACTCAGTGGCCACCAGGTGCCTGTTCTGTGTTATCACGTGGTCAGCACCACTACGCCCTCTGTCCTCTGAAGGTGCGTCCCTGGCAGCAGAGATGCACATGAGATATTGGCCTGGCCGGGCAATTTGCACGGCCTTCCAGGGAGGGCATTAGCATATAAATAGCAGATGCAATGACGGCCATCACAGCTGAGCACGTTTAATTTTTAGTTTATAAGATAGAATGGGTTTTTAAATGCATAGCCATCAAGCCACTGAAAGACAAATGCAGTTTGGAACTCACTTGTCTGACGAGGCCTTACATCATTTTTTTTTTAAAAGGGAAATAGACACACATAAAACTGAACAAAAGTGATTTCTTGGGTGAAAAGTAATTGAGATTGCGCACCAAGTTAATTAGATCGTACAAAATTTATTTAATGGTCCCAGCTGTATCTCTAGGCTGTGGGCTTGGTGGCCATGGCTTTCTGGATGTTGAGATGCTCTTCCCATTCCTTTGCAAATAATTAGCACTCACCACCCCACTTCTGTAAACTGATTGCATTGTATATTTTAGCCGTTTTATTGCTTGTTTAATTATGATCATGACGACTCATTTTTCTAAATCCTTTTAACTGTGGGTGAGAATCAATTTGTATAAAACCAGCAGTACCCCTACCACGACAATAGTAGTGGGTAAAAGCTTGTGTCTGTCTTGCGGGTGGATGAGTTGGCCCTCTGTAGGGGTCTGTAGCTCCCACCAGGGGCCAGCTTGGGAGAAGTCACCTGATTGGCTAGAAGAGTTTCTGACCACCCACCCTAAGCCTCAAAGGCACCCAAGGATTTCACTTGTCAGAGAAAGTATGAGTGAGATGCCCAGCTGGTGTGTGGCTCCCATGTGCAGATCTCATTAAGGGTTGGTCATCATCCCCCACCCCCACCCCAACCCCCTGGTTTCACGAAGTTTGTTTTGTCACAGGAGAAAACTTGGCCCTCGTGGAATAAAAGTAAATTGTTCTTAAGAACATTTCAAAAGTCTGGCCTCATTATGAAGATATTGCCAGTCCTGATGCCTTTTTATCAGGACCCTTGGCATCCAGCTACTTTTAGTGGACTCCTCTGGATGCTGGCTTCTGTCTGACCTCCCCTGTGACCTTAAAGGCAGGTTACCACCACAGTGGTCATGACCTCTTGATTATTTAGATTCTGAAATAGTGAGTGGAGGCTGGCCAACTGAGGTTCAAGACCATCCCATGAAGAAGGACTTCTCTCCTCTGGGCTATGTTACCTTTCCAGGGGACTGCCCCTTGTAACCATAATATTCCTGGTCAGACTCCTGAGCAGGTCACAGGAGTGTCCCAACAGCTAGAGCTCAGAGCTTTTCCACATCAGAGTAATTTCCCATCCCTCAGGTATGGCTCATCTGTCAGCTGCTGTCCTTGGTAACTTCCGCACCAAGGATTTGCAATATCGATATTTACCAAGTGTGAATTAAAACTTCACTTAAGTGAAGCCGGGCGGTAGTGGCGCATGCCTTTAATCCCAGCACTCGGGAGGCAGAGCCAGGCGGATCTCTGTGAGTTCGAGGCCAGCCTGGTCTACAGAGTGAGTTCCAGGAAAGGCACAAAGCTAGCTACACAGAGAAACCCTGTCTCGAAAAAAAAAAAAAAAAAAAAAAACAAACAAAAAACCCAACTTCACTTAAATATTAACAGTGGCATCTCTAAATTCTAGTTATTGCAGTTTAAGGACTCCATCTCTGAAGAGTTGCAGAGTAAAGTATAGGAGTGGCTGGCAGATCTGTGGCCTCTGTGGCCCCAGAGGAAGCCTGGGTCTTTTTCACGGCAGACATGTGGTGGAAGAGCAGACAGTCAGAGGCCTTATCAGTGCTAATTTAAGAACAGGGAAGAAACCAGTGCTTCAAATTTAATCTCAAAAATCAACAATTTAGTTGGGGAGGAAGAAGATAGAATTCTAATAGTTACCTAAGCAGTTGAATATTTTTAGGGAATGAAATTTTGATAAAAAGTCCCCAGCAAAATTCAAGGGTGTGAGCAATAAGCATAATATTTTATGAAAATGACCCCCATATTTAAAACCTGGCACTATATGTTATGCATTGTAGCACCCAGCCCACATCTACCTTTTAGAAAATTAAAACACATAAATTCTGTTTAGTGTTTGATACGCACTGCACTAGCTGAGCCCGTAATGCCCTAAAACCTTGGGCTGCTTTCCACCTTTCATAAATTCCTGGGTAGATTCTATACAAAAATAATTTTCAGGTCCGTGGCTCATTGTTATTCAAACGTGATTGATCGTCGTCATTTGCTCAGCTCGGGAGTTAAGTGCCCCTGTCATTTCCAAAGAGTATAATTGGGACGTTTCACAGGTCAGCGGTGGAGACAGGCTTCCCTTTTGATCAGTGTTAGACTGATAACAAAAATTACAGTTTCCGATGATTAATGTCTCCTGTGCTTCCCAGATGCACGACTGTGGGCTGCACCAAAACAAAGTGCATTTGCATCTGATTATGCTCTCTCGGGCAGCAGTCTCCCAGGCTGGGGCACCGGGCCAGCAGGCACAGCCAGATGTGGCTGCTGATGGCTCCAGCAGCCCCGCCATGGAGCCTGCCTCTACCTGGGCGGGCAGCATGCTGAGCTAGGGCGTGAGTAGGTGATGCACGGTAGATCCCTCCTCCATGGTGGCTATCATTGGCTTGGCTTGGCTTGGCTTGCGATGCACAGTGGCTCCTGACCTGAAAATAAAAGCTACTCTTTAGATGTCCCTTTTCCCTTCAGGAAATAGTTCGGACCATGAGTAACATCTGTGAATTCAAAGTGTTACTGTTGGAAGTGGTTTTAAAAAAGTTTTTCAAAGTTTGTCTTATAACCCTATAAGGGTCCCACTAGTTGGCATTGACTTGACAGGGGCCTTCCTTGTTTCAACTCTGCCCTGGAGCTTTTGTTGGTTGGTTGGTTGGTTGGTTGATTTTTTTGTTTTGTTTTGAAACAGTCTCTATTATAGCTATTATGAAGCTGTCTAGGAACTTGCTACATATGTCAGGTTGGCCTCCTCTAACTCACAAAGATCCACCTGCCTCTGCCTCCTGACAGCACAGTCCACTCTCAGACATTGATGGATACTCAGTACAGAGCTCCTGCTGGTCAACTAGAGCTCTATGGATTGTTGCTGTAATTGAATCCTCTCTGTATCTCACCCTTATATACATTCCCCTTCATTCATCCACAGAAGAGCACTCAGATTCAAGTTGTGCAGCACCATGCCCAGTCAATTGCTCTGGAGCTTTGGAAGCTGCAAAGGGCATTGAAACTTGGGAGCACCCAAATCCAAGGGCATCACAGCTCAAGGGGCCACCCAGTCTGAGGGGTACCACATCCCTAGGGGCATGGACCTCCTTTGCCCTGGTGAGCTGAGCCTGGCCCCCTAGTGTGACAGGTGGCCAGTGGAGGAAGGTTGGGTTTCTGGCATCCTATCCTGAGTGTGGAAGGCTCTGGAAGAATATGAGGTCAGTGGGAGGTAGGGCAGGAGGAGCTTCATCAGAGGATGCTTCTGCAGTAAGGTTGGAGGAGCAGTGGGTCTGAGGCATAGTGAATGCTATGACCTGTGACCCTGGTGGCTTGCTTGGGCATGGCAGCGCTGTAGGTGGGATGGCAGCAGCATTACTTCAGGCCCTGTTGCTGCTTATTGGGGGAGGGGGGTGCCAGGTGTGCAAAGTACTTGGTGATGCACACTGCACCCGGCACAAGAGAGTTGGCGGTGGGTAGGGAATGGCTCCAGGTGGGAGCTTAGCAAAGGCACTGTGGTTTAAGAATAAGAACAGCCTTAGAGACATTGTCACTGAAGACCATCCACAGTTAATGTTGAAATTAGAGAGACGGCCCTATGTGCAGCAACACTTGTACACAGTCCATGGACAGCTGCTGTTGTATAGAGCTGATGACCTCATTTGTACTTGGGGATGTTTCCACAGACAGGAGCCCTGGAGGACAGCGAGGATGAGGATCAGGACTTCGTGGACGTCCCAGAGAAGGAGGGTTATGAACCTCGAATCCCTGACCACCTCCGGGCTGAATATGGTGAGCTGTGGGCCCACAAGGGGCAAGATTGAGCCTCCAGGGTACTGGGGATACAGGTCCCCACTCTGGACAACGCCTCTAGGTTGTGACATCAACACGGGGAGCTTACCCTTCCGCTTCCCTTGTACAGCTATTGTGTCAGTAATTGTTGCTTGGACTTAAATTGTGGAGCTTTTCTTTTGTCCCCTGGGGGCCAGCACGTGGCAGGCTTCCATCATGCAGGGTCTTCTGGGCCATTTGGTGCTCTGGCTGTAGGGCAGGGGTGCAGTCTGATGGGGATGCCTTTGCCCACATACAGTCTGCACCAGGAGGCAAGGGAAGCAGACACGATGATAAAAGTATCCTTGCTTTGTGTCTGTGAGGTCACAGATGTGACCTCTGACTCAGGAATGTCTGAGCCCCATAGCAAGAATCAGCTTGTCACACACAGCACCACTGTGACAGACAGGAATGTCCCATCTAGGATTTTCCTCTTTTCCAAGAACTCTAAAAGCCACACTCTGTGCCCTAGGCTTGTGCCCTCCAGAGGGAAACTTAAAGGGGATCCAGGACCCAGGTCACAGGTCAGGTTACGGCATTGCTTATGTCAAGAGGAAGCAAATACAAACAAGTACCCTGGCTCCTGGGAGGGAGTACACAAGTGGATTTGAACTGGTGTCTGTGGGGTGGAATTGGGATTTGCTAAGAGAATTTAGATGATTAGATGACTCGTGTGTGAAGACATGACCCAATGGAGTGTCATACCAAGTTAGCCCAGGCAGACTCACCCTCTCCACTCCTCCAACCCTCTGCCCAGTGCCGTCTGCTGGGCAGGCTGGGCACTTGGGGGTCAGTAAGTGTGTGACTGTCAGGAGGAACCTCCCACACTAAGGGGGTACTGGTGACCCCTTGGCTGAGCATAATGTCCTGGCCAGGCTCACTCTGCAGGAGTTCCAAGTTGTAGTGCTCCATGAAGCTCCCTGCCTAGTGGAGCTGCCCTCCCATCCCTGCTTGCCTCATCTGCTGGTTGTGGGCACCCCACCGTGCTGAGTTGTACACACCCTTTCTTTCAGCCTTGCAGTGCTCTCATGGGGTTCTTCAGCCTGCAAGAACTCCAAGCCTCCCCCACCCACAAGCTCCTCCAAGCACCCATCTCTACCTGAAGTGGGTTTTACCATCTCCCAGCTTATTTTTTCACCTAGTGGGAGATACCTCATGGCCTCACCCAAAGTGGTCACAGCCAAGTGCCACAGCTAACACCTGAGGTACCCAAAAGTGTTTCAGGCATACCATGGGATGACATGGCCATCCTCCTGTGCCCATAGTGGTCTTTGCCCCCTGTTTCTTTTACCCTCAGCTAGATGAGGCCCTGGTCTAGCAAGGTGCTGGTATAGATGTGGCTATATCTGAGGCCACCAGAGTCTAGAACAGTGGGCCGTGAGGTCAGGTGAGGCAGGGACACTTCTCATGGTCCAGGCAATATGGTTAGCACCTACCTATGTGCCAGAGTCTTACCTACCAAGATGTTCTTCTGCCCTCCTTGGAAGCCACATTTTCCTTCTTTTTTTTTTTTTTTTTTTTTGTTTGTTTGTTTGTTTTTCGAGACAAGGTTTCTCTGTGTAAGCTTTGCGCCTTTCCTGGAGCTCACTCTGTAGCCCAGGCTGGCCTCGAACTCACGGAGATCCGCCTGCCTCTGCCTCCCGAGTGCTGGGATTAAAGGTGTGCGCCACCACCACCCGGCTCACATTTTCCTTCTTAAGCTAGGGGACTGATGGCTCTTGGGGTCTTCAGGGGAGCCTGGGAGCCAGCACTGACACAGGGCTCATGGTTGCACCAGAAGTTTTTAGCTTGGGCCTCTGCATCCTGTTCTGATGTTCTGTATCCTTCCAGCAGATACGGTAAGTCTGACTTTACACGGGCCTCGAGTGGCTCCAGGTCATATGTAGCAGGCAGCCATGACAAGCCAACCCTGAAGATTGTCCTCAAAGAACAGAACAGATTCTTCTACCCGAGGAGAGGCCTGTGGCTTGGAAATGGCCAGTGGTGGTGCCAATGACAGCAGCCTCTGCTGACAGATGCCTACCCAGTGTCACCCCTGGGAGATATATAGGCACAGTGGAATTGACAGGGCTAGAGCAAATCCTGTAGTCCTCCTGATTGGAGATGGTTCTATGTCTGCCTGTATCTGGATGGCTTGTGACTGTTGGCCATTAGGGTCCAGCAAAGGAGGCTGAGTTGTAAAAATACTTTGAAGCATCTCCCAACATTACTTGCTTGGACACAGCCATGGGCAACCTGCTGTGAGACTACACAGGTCCTGGCAGCGCAGGGACTCACAAGTGCCTCTCGTTTGGCAGTTACAACCCACATCTACTCATGGTCATCCCAGTCTGACTCAGGCCCCCACAACAGAGTTGTGTTCCTAATGTAGAATAATCCATGATTTTCAATAGAATACTATTGGTTCCACTACTGAGTGTTCGGTTATTTGTTATCTAGCAGCAATAACTACACTACCCATAGCTCCTGCACCCAGTGCCCATCAGCCTGTGTATTTTTTCTTCAGAGCCTATTATGTCTACCTGGCTGTGGAAGGACCTACAAAGCTGGTAGGGGCTTTATCCCAGCCTCACAGAAAGGCAGAGACCGTGGTGGCTTGCTTCATTGTCTGTAATTCATTCCTTTCTTGGAAAAGCTCTAGGCATCTGTTTTAGACCTGGAAGGCAGTAGTGACTGATGTGGTCTGAGCCCGGTGTTGTTGTTTTGTGTTTTCAAATGACATCAAGTGGGAAGTGTGGCAGAGGCTGAGTAGGCTGGCAGGGTGTACAGGTAGACCCACAGCAGCCACACTCAGTACATATAATCTGGCTATCAGTGCCGCCATTGGGCTGAGGGCCACAGGAACCAAGGAAGGGTTGGTGGACCCTTGAGCCCAGGGATACTTGACACACCTAGAATGTTTGATGATTCCTGAAGCATTCTCAGGAGGGGCTGGGGTAAGAAGAGCACTAGCCCCGTGGGGGGGACTTGTGGCGGGGATGGAAAGTGGGAAGCCTCCATCATTGCACCAATGAAGACTCCCTCGGGAGCCCTGGGAACTAAGCCAGCAGCCTAGGCTGGAGTGTCCAGACAGACAGACAGTGTGCAGTGAGCTCAGTTCATAATACTAGTTTATAGTCCATCACGGTTTTTCCAATTAAACACAGGCGAATCTGAAGTGTTAGATTCAGTCTAAATCCACACGGCTGAGGAAATCAGACTCTTTTTTCTTTCTCATTTCTTTCTCTGAATTTTCACTGAGGGGCTTTTATCTTCCCCTTAATCCTACCATTTCTGTCAGGACATAATCTCTTTCTCAAATTTACATTTTAATTACAAGGCCAGCTGAACTAGGTAAAATCAATAATGTCAGCGCGCGGCAGCCTAACTTTGTGCGGAGCCCCAGCCTCTCCATTTCCTCCTATCGATCCATCTCTCCCGCACTGTCTGCTTTAGTGCTTCAGGCAAATAGGTGCCACTTGGCCAATTTAAACAAAAAAAGGAGCTTTGGACATTTTTATGATTCTTTCTAAAAGCAACTCTGGGAGTAAATTTTGGCCAAGGGACTACTGGAGTCAGGCCCTGCAAGGCAGCAGGGCCATGGTGGTCAGCAGGGTGATGTCTCACTCTTTTAGGGTCACACACCCCCTGGCCTGAGGAGTGTGCTCTGCTTTTTGGGTTTTAACTTTGAAAATATGTCAGTGAGATTGATTTTCTACGACGGTGTGAAAACAGTGGTGTGTTCGGTGCCCTGAGTGTTTACCCTGCTCTAACACGCTTACCCATCTTCTTAATGGTTTAAAACAACAAATCAATGAAAAATATATTTCATTCTTGTAACTCTTAGGAATTCTCATATTGATCTTTTGGCTGCGATTGTATCTATCTAAATGTCACATTGTTCACTTACCAGCCTTGCCTCCCTGCTGTGCATGTGTATGCAGGGCTGGGCTCACTGCTGCCTTCCACATTGCCCGTAACATTGTGACGACGGGAAACTTGGAGGGTCACATGGAAGTGTTTGCCACCCAGACCTTGGACACTGTTTTTAAGGACGGAGCCGAGAAGGGGCTGCCCGGTATCTTCTGACACACAGTGTGCCCAAACCTTAGGACCATAGAGCTCCAGAGCCTGGCGGTGGCTGACCGTGACTCCACTACCCTCAGAGTGGCCCTGCCCAAGTCCCCTGCTCCTTACCCATGAGTCTTCAAGAGATAGGAGCCCTTACCTGTGTATCGGGTGTACCAGAGCAGAGACAACAAATGTTTCTCTAAAGGGCCATCAAGTAAATATTTCGGCTTTCTGGGCTGCGTCAGGGCTCTGTCATAGTTCCACTCCAAACTCAGCACAGATAAAGCACAGACACACGGCTAGAGCTAGGACCAACTTTGTCATAGAGACAGGCAGTGAGGCAGATTGGCCCGTTCCTCCAGGGCCCCAGGAAGCACTGAGGAGCAGCTGCTCGTTTCTCTGCCATGTCAGGCTGACCTCTGCTCTACAGCAAGCCCAGTATGAGTCCAGAACTCTGGTGGCCTAGTGCTGTGACCCCTCAGAGCTGTAGGCTTCGCCTTCCTAAGGTACAGTGTGTTGGTCTGCTTTGATGGATGTCTCTTTGTGTGCGTAGACTTTGTTTGGTTTGGTTTTGGAAACAGTATCTTGCATTGAGTTCAAGCTGCCTTCAACTTGAAGGCCTCCTACCCAGGCCTTCTGAGTACTGCAACCTTGAGTCTAGAAAATAATGCACAGACTTAGCATTTTTTAATGAATTTGTTCTTGATTTAGGCTCTTACTATGTAGCTGGCCTCAGCCTTGAGATTCTCCTACCTGAGCACTCCAAGTTCTGGATGAAAGTGAGGTCCAGCTTGTACTTTGGCTATTAGGGACAGGTCCATCCACATTTATCATACATTCATGTATTTTTTCTTGTACTATTTTTTAAACTTCAGATCTACTTTCTTGGTATTAACCCATTTTCTCAGCTGTCTCTTGATTGTTTATTAACTTTTTCCTTTGCGCTGCTCAGTAGCTGTTTATTAGCTAAATGTATTTGGCTTGCCCAGTCTGTCTGCTCACAGATTTATTAGTCCACGTGACAGGCGGTCCTCAGTGTGTTCAGAGCTGGGCACCACACTTTTTCTGGCTTTGCTGCTGCTGTTTGGCTTATTTTTCTCACTTAGAAATGAATCTTTGTATCCTTCTGAGAGCTATCTCTAATTTTAAGACTCACATATTTTTATCATTCATTGCTTCCATTTTGTGGTTCTGGGGACAGAACCCAGGGCTGCACACATATTAAGCATGTTTTCTACCACCAGCCCAGCCCTTTGACCCCTCACTCACTAATTTTTTTATGGTTTCTATACTGTCCTCTACATAAGACAGGTGATCAAGAACCCACTTCTCCTACCTCGCTGGCATTGGGCCACCCTGGTATCTTAGTACCCACTGAGTTCATGTTCTGTTGTCAGAAGTCATTTTCTCCCTGTTATCTTTTTTGTTGTTGTTTTGTTTTGTTTTGGTTTTGGTTTTTGGTTTTTGGTTTTTGGTTTTTTGAGACAGTGTTTCTCTGTGTAGTTTTGGTGCCTGTCCTGGATCTCGCTCTGTAGACCAGGCTAGATTTAGATTTTTTTTTTTCTTGATGGATCACTTATGCTAAGGGTATTCTTAAAGAATCTGCAAGTGTTAGTCCTTGTAAGGTCTTGGGTCCACAAGACCTCCTTCCTGTACCTGTGGTGGGCCTGACAGCTCAGCGGGGTATTCAACTGTAAGCTTGGCTCTTCTTCCTACACACTCCCTTTCTTTTTTTTCTCTTTTGTGGTTCTGAAGATGGGACCCAGAGCCTCACACATACTAGGTAGATGCTCTGCTACAACACTGTATCCCCAGCCCTTCCCTGTATCCTTCAAGATAGCTTTTTCAAGGCCTCAAACTTGCAGCTATGGCTGACAGTGCTGCTTCCAGCGGGGCTTTCTGTCCAGCCTTTTCTTTTTACTGTTAATGTTCTCTAACTTCCTCTTTAGCCACAGTTGGCCCTCTGCCTCCTCTGGCAGGCAGCAAGTCCCTTAATTTCAGGAAAACTGGCTCATTTCTTCAACTGTTTGCTACACCCCAGTTATATTTTATTTCTTCTGGAATTGCGGAGACAAGGACAGCAGTACTGTAGATCTGCCCTTCACACTGCTGGGCTGTACGCCCTTGCTCATGTGCCTCATCATTGGTCCCTCTGCCCTTCAGACACACAGCACGCAATCCTCCTTCTTCCGCACTTCCTGCTCCTCGTCCTTTTTGTTTTTAATTGTATTTTATGTGTGTGGGTGTTTTGCCAGCTTGTATGTTTGTGTGCCATGTGTATGCCTCCCACCTGAGGAGGCCAGAAGAAGGAATCAGGTCCCTGGCACTGGAGTCAGGCAGTTGTAAGCTATCATGGGGTGCTGCTCTGAAGGAACAGCTGGTGCTCTGAGTGCTGCGCCATCTCCCCAGGCCCTGCTCCTCATCTTTGCTAGAAGATGTCTGTCATTTCTGCCTGCCGGAACGGTGCTCTGCCGTCTGCAGTCCTCCCCAGCTCCTGTTTCCTTTTTGCCCTATCTCAGCTGTGGAGTCTGCCTCGTCTAAGATGGTGCGTCATCTGCTCTCTCTCTGGTGGCAGGGTGCTCAGAAGTCTGAGCTTCTTTGTCAATGCAGGACTCACTGGTAGCAGGACTGGTGTCCAGCTGAGGTTGCTCCTGCCGTGAATGTGAGAAGTGGGGTAACAAGTGGGTAGTGCCTCTGGAGTCCCAGTTTAGACTATGCTCTGGGGCCTGCAGGGGTCAGAGTTGGCCCTACCTGCAACCTCCTAAGAGCCAGACCCAAGAATGGGCAGGCAGGGGACCAAAGTGGCAGGATTCTGCCATTGGAGCTGTGAGAGTGAATCTGAGCTAAGGTTGGTGTCATCTGCATAACCTGTGGAAATCCTGCTGTCAAGTGTCAACATCATAACCTCCTCTAGCTGGTATAGGGCAGGTATTCCAGGGTGACATCCTGTAGTCAGGGGCATCTGCCTCACAGCCACAGAAAAGGTACTGCAGTCACAGACCCCAGGCCTGACTGTAGCTATCCCTGTGGCTTTTGAAGTTTAGAGCAGAAGTTGGGAATGACCTTGGGTGTTTCCTCTGAGGACAGTATAGGGGAGAAGAGGTATCGCTAAGTCTCAGCTGGAATCGTATGTCACTCTCATACAAAGGCTGGTTTTCTCTGTGCCTTGCTCAGTGAAGGGAGGCCTGCTGTCAGGGGCAAGGGAATTGTGTGTGTGCACTATGGGTAGCCTCTTTTTAGCATGGCAGGTTTTGTGCGCAGACGTCTGTCTTAGTTAGGGTTCTATTGCTGCAACAAAGTACCCTGACCAGAAAGCAAGTTGGAAGCAGGGGTTATTTGGCTTACACTTCCACATTGCTGTTCATCACTAAAGGAAGTCAGGACAGGAACTCAAGCAGGGCAGGATCCTGGAGGTAGGAGCTGAGGCAGAGGCCATGGAGGGGAGCTGCTTACTGGCTTGCCACCATGGCTTGCTCAGCTTGCTTTCTTATAGAACCCAGGACCAGCAGCCCAGGGTGGCACCACCCACCATGGGCTGGGACCTCCCCCATTGATAACAAATTGAGAAAATGCCTTACAGTTGGATCTCTTGGAGGCATTTCCCCAACTAAGGCTTCTTCCTCTCTGGTGACTCTAGCTTGTGTCAAGTTGACACACAAAACCAGCCAGTACAAAGTCCATCCTCTCACTGTGAGAAGCTGTGGGCAGAGGTGTCAATGTTGTTGGTCCATGCTGTGAACAGCTCTGAATAGGCTTCTGGTGACAGTCTCCGTAGGCTAGGGCTGCCTGGGTCCTTGCCCTGTGTCCCCTACATAAGAGTGTGGCCCCTATCTAAGAAGTCGAGATGACAGGCATTTCTTGTGCTGTTGGAGGAGTGAATGTTGTTACGTGTGGGTGCATCTGAGGCCTGACACATGGTGCTCCCCCAATTTGCCCTGGGTTGTAGAGTGATATTAGAAGTGGACACGTGTCATTTCAGGGCTGGAGCCAAAGGCCTCACTGAAGACTCTAGAGAAAGGTACAGCTGTGTGCAGCTTACAGGAGAGGACAAGGATGAGAAAGGAAGAGGAGGCATCAGACCCCACCTCTGCAGCTGCCCAGCTGTTGCGGCTCCAGGACTGCTTGCCATCCACCTCACCCTCCTCTGCCAGGTGAGTCTAGATGTCCCATGTTGTTGGGCCTACTGCCTAATACTGCCACCACCTGTCTGAAGCACTGGCTGGCCTGAACAGGTTCCCAAGAACCTCCGCCACCACCCCACCCCACCCCACCCCACCCTCATGCCCATTTTGAGAGGTTTTTTTGTAACCCTAGACAAGTAGCATCTGTTAATGTGGGACATGGGGCTCAACTAGGTCTGCAGCAACCCTCTAGAGCTCCTGCAGCCAGGCCGCATTCTTGAAGGAAATGTCAGGTGACCCCCAGGCAGGTTCACATCACAGATCAGAGCCAGTGCTCATTAGGGCCACGTTTTTTGCTGGACCTCATTAGCCATTCTGAAAGCTCAGGCCCAACGTAGTTTTTATTCATGCTGACCCCAGGCCTCTCTCTGGGATGCACTGGGGTGTGGGAGGGAAAGGCAAGTGGTCACACAAGGAATGGGTAGCCTACATGTGCTGATCTGTTTTCAGGTTACTTCTGGGGCCAGAGGAAGCCCAGAAGCAGGCAGAGCGGGCCCGAGCACCCATTGTACCCTTTGGAGTGGACCTGTGTTACTGGGGCCAGGAGAAACTAACAGCTGGGAAGATCCTTAAGTGAGTCTAACGTATCTGGTTCCCAGGACTCAGAGCATGGCCTGGCTTTCTCTATCTGTTCTCTGGCTCTTCAGACACTGGTGCTTGGACCTTCCTATTGCTTCTTCAGGAGGTACCCATGAACTTCATCTATTACTCAGTGTGAAGGAGAAAGCTCAGTCCTGAGATGCTCCTGGCCATTGTGGCGCTCCTTAAGATGCAGGAGGCTGATGCACACAGTGTTAACTGGGTCATAAGCTGGATTCTTGTTCCCCAAGGACCTTCTGAGTGGGGCTACCCCAGCAGAACCCAGGCTGCAGGTAGCTAAAGGAAGGTAGGGATAGCGGGACACGTGTAGAAGTACAGGTGAAAACTCCTGAAAGGAAGAAGGAGTCGGGGTGGTTGGAAAGGCCCAGGTTGCGTTTGCTGGTACTGTACTTAAGAGCAAGAGCTGGGAGTCTAAGAGCAGTGAAGCTAATGATTGTGTGAACCCCAGGCTGGGCTGTCTGGGGACTAAACTTACATGACAGGAATTGGGACCTCTAGAAGTCTAAGGAAATGGAGCCAGGTCTCCCCATGGAGAGTTCTGGTCCAGGGCTTTGCCCTGAGGCTCCATGAGGTTAAATATTGGTACAGTTAGGCTTGTGAGGAACTTACCAAGTTCAAGCCATACCTCTGTGTTGCTGCTGCCATCACAGTACTCTGGTCATTGGATGCTGTTGTCGCCAATTACAGCCAGGACCAGTCAGGATCCCGCGCCCCATCACCCTTCTGCCCACCATTTGCCCCACCATCTCTGAGCAATCCACCAAGGTGCCAGCTCTTGGGGCAACTGGCATCCATGTGCAGAGCCCATAGAATCCTCCTGTCTGTCGGGCAGGGGGCACAGTGGCAAAGCCTGCCCCATTCTCTGGCATCCAGATAAAAGTGGCTTTAACAAGGTTTGGTAATGGGCTGGGGCTGTAGTTCAGTGGTAGAGTGTTTGCTTAGCATGCATGAGGCCTTAGGTTCAATCCCTAGCACTGTCAGGGGTAGGAGGAGGAAGCAAGGTTTGATGATAGCAAGAGAGTAAACGCTCCATCCTTTGGGTCCCTTAGCACTGCATGAAGACTGGGTATGAATTTATACATGCTTCTTCTCCTGGGTCATTGGTGCCATGTCAATGTCAGAGCCTGTATTCTCCCACTTAGTGGCAAAGAGACCTTTGACATGGACTCATGTTGCTCTCAAAGCCATAGCCTGAGGGCCCTGGAGCTGCTGTCTGCTTTGCAAGGAGAATCTGAGCCCAAGCTAGTGGTTATACCCACCATCTTTGGCTGGTTCAACATCATTATTTGAACCTGGTTACAGTGATCATGTTCTCTAGTCCAGGAAGGCCTCAAGGCCACCAGGGGTCAGTGCTCTCCTCAGGGTTGGGGTGCAATTAGGGTGCATTGGGACTGGGCCAGACCCCCCTTCTGGGTCCACAGTAGCCACTCTGAGGGTCTCTGGTGCACCTTGCAGATCTGACTCTCAACACCGCTTCTGGAAACCCAGCGAGGTAGAGGAGGAGGTGGACAGTGCCCACGTCTCTGAGATGCTCCATAGCCGACACATTACCTTTGCAGGGAAGTTCGAGCCTGTGCAGCACCAGTGCCGGGCCCTGAAGCCTAATGGCAGGCTCTGTGAGCGCCAGGATCGGCTGAAGGTAAGGCTAGTGGGCAAGGCCATTGGCATGAAGCTGTGGCTACCCAGGAGAGGCTGGGCCACAACTAATGGCCTGGGGAAGTGCTTGTCCTCTTTGTCTCCATCCTGGACCAGGGATACTTGTAAGTCCCGAGGAGCCCTGTAGAAGAGGCCTTAGAAGCAGTGTCATAATTGCTTAGCCGCTGACCATCAGAGAATCATGCTTGGGTTCTCTGCCCTGGGCCCTGACATTGACTTCTGAGAGACTCCCAAAACAGCCAGACTGCTGCTCTGCAGCTGGAGTCCTGTGTGGGCCTTCCTGAGCTTAGAGACGTATATCCATGCATGCAGAAGGTAGCAGAATGGAGAGAAGTTGCTTTGGACAAACAGACTTTAGTTCTCAGACTCCTGCTGCTGTCACTCCCCAGATCTCCCTCTCATGATTCCAGGGCTTGGCTGTGCCCCCCCCTCCGCTATGTGTGCACCCTCCTAGCCATCAGCTGCTTTGTGTCCATTGTGTAGTGCCCATTCCATGGGAAGATCATCCCCAGAGATGACAAGGGGCAGCCCCTCAACCCAGAGGACAGAGCCCGTGAACAAAGGCAGCAGCTTCAGCAGCAGCAGGCGCATCCAGGTAGGTATGGGGGTGCACAAGAGGGGCAGCAGGCGCAGCCAAGTTGTGGTCACCAAGTTGGAAATTCCATTTGTGACTGAGAAGCAGGTCAGGGCCTCCATGGGTAATGTTGAGTATACATGAAGTGAGGTATTAATCTTCAAGGCTTACAACAGGAATATGGATACTCCTGACTGAATACACCACCATATCATCTGCACAGCGGGATGGAACCCAGAGTCTGATAAGTTAGATAAGCACTGCACCACTGAGCTACAATCCCCCAGGTTCTGGTTCTTATTCCTGCTTCCAGAGCAGATGAAGGAATTGCAGCGGTCTCTCTCCCCTGATATGGTCACCCACTCTAATTCTTGCGTCTAGAGTCTAGGTCTGTCTGCTGGCTCTGACTTGCCCTGCTCAGCTCCAACTCACCTCACTATCTACATGGGTGGCCAAACTCAGACTAGTGTTTAAATCTATCTTGGAGCCCATGGAGGACCCTTCTATAAGGGGACATGTCCACAGGCCCCTTCATGGCTTCTTGCCCTGTGGTCCGTAGACACAAATTCCTGTTTCATCCTGTACCCAGAGACATGTCTGGGTTGTATAGTGGTGGGGAGGGCCTGACCTGTTCATCTGCAGGAGAAACCTTCCCTGGTGGCTCACACTCAGGAGCAAATTAAGTGCCTATTTTTGTGTCAACCCTGAAGAGTATCTAGTTTTCCAGCCCTCGGTGGCTTGTTAACAAACAGGTATCAGGCCACGGGCCAAGCCCGGTGCTGGCCAGTCAGATGTGAAATAGCATCTCTTTACTAACTGCAGTATTGATCCCGCCTCCCTCGCACACAGGGCAATTTTCTTTTCCCTGGTGCTAACCTCAGTGACAATGCACACGGTGCTCCAGGGCCCTTCAGCGCCCAGGAAGGCCGCACAGCCCCAGCGTCTATTGATTTTCTTCAAAGGCTTTTAAATTGCTCCTTCATTTTCCTGAGGTGCTCATTCCATCTCCACTGGATGCCGGCATTTTTTCGTTGTGTTTAAACAATTGCTCCATTCACCAGGTTCCTAAACTGTGACGCCTTCTTATTACTGGGAGATAAACTGTTTAGACAGTTTTCCTTAATCTTGGATTAATCGTCCCTGTATCTGAATCGTGCAGTCCTGAGTTCCTTCACTTCAAAAAAATCAGCTTGGAGAGGCCAAGCCATCTGTCTGTCTGGCGTGCTTGCTTCTCCCTCAACAGACGTGCCCCTCTCAGAGTCTGGCTTTGCTGCCACCCCGTCCGGGCACTGTTCCCTGTCCACTCCGCCCCAGCTCATGGATCCTTGGCATTCGGGTGCCCTTGTAGTAAGGAGTGGCGGGCGCCCTTCTGCCTGCTAGGCTCACCCTTAGGCCTGGAAGAGTTGGGTTTACTTTGCCTTCACTCTTCACTAGGCTGACTTTCCCAAGGAGGCTGGAGCAACATCATGTCTAACAGAGCTTAGGCTGCCTGTGGAGGTGAGCCAGCAGAGATGAGCAGGGAGCTCGGGAGCCCAGGCTCTGACTTCCTGGTGCTTATTTACGTGGCTGTCTCAGCAGCCCTCCACATGAGCAGTGATCTTGCCATTTGTCTGTCTGCCTTGGTAGTGATGAGGTGCTCAGTGGGCTGGGTGCTGTTCAATTCCCCTCACTTTCCGTAGACTCTAGTGGTGCCCAGCTCACAGGAGGGGCAACTCTGCTCTGCACTCTGAGACCCGTAACCACATTTCCTGTGAACCACAGAACCCATCTCCAGCCTGCCATATACCTCAACTCTGGATACCCTTGCCTCACATGCCCATTAGCCAGCAAATATGTCTGAAAGCACTACAGTTGGCCTGGTTGGCCATAGCCCAGCCTGGAGGTTGGGAAGTAACCTGTCGACACTCTGACTCCATGGCCAGTGACCTTGAGAACTGTCCCCTGGAGTGATCGGTCAGGAGTGCCAGGAGTAGTGGCTGTTGGGGCTGAGCCTGCCTGGATCCTTGCAGCCCGTTCAAGTTGTAGGAGCCTTCAGGATACTAAGGGACTAAGTAGTAGAAGCAGGCAGTGGCAATAAGGAAAGAGGTGCCCCTGTGTGGGCCTCATCCCCAAGGTAGCCATGTCACTCAGCACAGACCCTCTCAGACGATAGTACGAGGGCATGCAGCAGGCAGGCTCCAGCCCTCCATCAGGAAGAAACCCACAAGGTCACCCCTGGTGGTGCCAGGCACCTTTTGAAACCCTCAAGTTTGTTCAGATTGGCAGGACCCTGAGTTTATGAAGGACGTGGAGGCAGCCACAGGGGTGGACCTCGGCTCATCCAGGTATAGCAAGAAGGGCAAAGGGAAAAAGAAGAAGCACCCCAACCTCACCGACCTGCGAGAGCGTGCCAACACCTCCCGGGCCCGCCTGGAGAAGAAGGTCTTTGCCAAGTAAGAGCTCGTCACTGGCCCAAGGCCTCGGGCTTTGGTCTCGGATATGTTGGGGGAGAGCCACCTGAGTTGCCAGGAGCTCTGGTGATTATATTAGTTGTGGGAGTCCAGCTCCAACCTGCTCCCACCTTTCAAAGGGTTCTTGGGTAGAGGGGAGAGGCATGAGGAAATATTAGATGGAAAGAGACAGAGACACAGGATAGCTTCAGGAGGGCCCTGGGTCAATACTCACTCACCTGGAGCTTTATTCAAAAGGACTTTTTATAATATGCCAAGGGGAGAGACAAAAGATCTCCCCCTTGCAAGATCAAAGCACACCGTACAGCCAAGTGTAGACCGTTCCAAATACCTGGTAACCACAACCCTGGCCAAATCATCCTATTATGCAGCCCTGGTGGGTAAAGCAAGCTCAGATTCTCTGACACTGAGTAATTTGGGCCCTCACAAATAGTCAAGGTGATAACCAAGATTAGCCATCATAGTAACCTGCAGCCCTGACCAGTGAAAGGCCATGCCAAGAGCTGCAGCTGGGGGCCTTGCGTATTCTTCCTAGGAGTCCACAGCCACCTCTCTGTAAGTAGAGCTGGCTGCAGCAAGATGGTCCTAAAAGGCCAGATGCTGGCTTTGCTGTGCCCTGGGTCAGTGCCATGCTCACAGATGGGTAACTCTGCTCTGTAACCTCAGAGAAGGCAGACATAGTGTCCAGCACTTCTGGGGTCAGATACTTCATCATAGTACTGGTCAATAAGCTCCTTGTTCAGCCGGGGGGGGGGGGGGGGGGGGGGGGTGGGGGGGGGGGGGGGGGGGGGGGGGGGGCGGGTGCAGGCAGAGGGAGGTGGAGGCTGGGCCACATAGACCTCCTGCTTTCTCCTTTTTCTCTTTCTGCTGAGTCCCCTTACCTCTGGACATGCAGCCCATGTTCGCCATGCCTTCACCCTGGGGTGCAGCCTGGAAATCGCAAGAGTCTGCTCTTGTAAATTGCCTTCAGGGCTGGGAGACACAACCAAGGCCCATGGTGGGTTATAGCTCAGACTGGGGAGCCCCACTCTGAGCCCCACCTTAGAGGAGTCCAGTACCTACTGGAAGCCTTTATGAGGTCCAAAGGCGGCAAGGCCACGCAGGACCCCAGAGTCTTGTCGGGGCCTTAGTTATCTCTTACTTTGCTCTCTCCATAGGGCAGCCGTGCAGAGAGTAGTCGCTGCCATGAACCAGATGGACCAGAAGAAACATGAGAAGTTTGCAAACCAGTTTAATTACGCACTGAATTAAAAGAGTGTGGGACGAATGTGCTGTGGTCCCCTTTGGCCATCAGCTCTTTTCTATTCACCAGCTTACTAGGAGAATAGGGTCAGGTCTGGTTAGAATCCGAACTTGCTTTTTATGTATGTAACTAACAGTGGAAAATGGTGCATTGCAATACTCTCCAGTAGGCCAGGAAACTTAGCTTAGTGGTAAGACCAAGGTTTGGTTTTCAACAATTTGGACCATGCATATGGCACCATACCTATAATCCCAGCACTTGGGGACATAAACAGGACTGTGAGTTCTAGGCCAGTATGGATTACAGAGCAAGGCTGCTTGAACAACAACAAAAAGCAGTATGAGGTGATGCACACCTATAATCCTAGCCCTTAGGAGGCAGAGCAGGAGAATCAACACAAGTTAAAAACTAGCCTAGTATATATAGTAAGTTACAGGCCAGCCAGACTTTGTAAGGAGAGTGTGTTTCCCGGGGGAGGGGGGGGTAGTGGTGGGGGGAGCCCTCAGGATAGCCTACCGCATTGGAGTCAGGGGTAAAGGCAGGCACCCATCCGGTTGCGGGTCAAGCCTTGGGCAATAAGTGTGTCCCCATTAGGGCTATGTACTTTATGATGGCTTTAGAAACCCACTCTTTCATGCATATGCTGTTTAATACAGATACACAACTCCTAGCCTACAATTCTGTGGAATGGCTCTCTTGAGCCCTAACTCACATATCGTGCCGCCTGCCTAGTACATGCACAGACGTATAACCAATGACACTATCTGCTTCCAGAACTTTATCACCCTAGGACGAACTGCCTGCCACCCACCCCTAAGCCCCCTTTCTGCTTCAGGATTTGTGTTTTCTAGAATAATTGGGTCTGTGGCTTTTTGTTTTGTTTTGTTTGAGATGTGGTCTCTTAATGTAGTTCTGACATTCCTAGAGCTCAGTACGTAGACGAGGCTGGTCTTGAACTCACAGAGATACTCCTGCCTCTGCCTCCTGAGTGCTGGGATTAAAGGCATGCGCCACCACACATGGCTGAGTCCGTGGCCTTTTGTTTCTGGCTTCTTTCCCTTTATTTAAGGTTCTTCCATGTTGTAATACGTACCAATACTTCATGTCCACCAACCCAGCCTTACAGAGAGTGCTGGAAGCAGTACTTTGGACAGAGGAGAGGAGTGCGCATAGTTAAGAGACTACAGAGAGAAAAGAGGTGAAGTGTAATTACTGAAACACAAAATAGGACGAAGAACACAAAACAACAGTAGCCAACACACACCGTGAATGGACAACTCTGTAATGTCCTCAGCTCCCCAGTCAGGGACGCTGGTTAGGTAACTGGATGAAGAACCCACCTTCAAAGACCAGAAGTAACAGAATACGGAAAAAAAGGATTCTAAGCAAATGGGACCAGAAGCAAGTAGGCGTCACTACCTTTTTCTTTTTCTTTTTTTCTTTTTTTTTCTTTTTTGTTGTTGTTGCTGGTTTTTTCGAGACAGGGTTTCTCCATGTAGTTTTGGTGCCTTTCCTGGATCTCGCTCTGTAGACCAGGCTGGCCTCGAACTCACAGAGATCCGCCTAGCTCTGCCTCCTGAGTGCTGGGATTAAAGGCATGCACCACCACCACTGCCAGGCTTTATTTTTATTTTCTTAAGACAGTGTCTCACTATGTAGTCCTGGCTTGCTATATAAACCAGGTGGGTTTATATAGCTCACAGAGATCTGCCTGCTTCTGCCTTCCAAGAGGTGGAATTAAAGCCATGCACCACCTTGACAGGTCAGTATTGCTGTTTTAATATCTGACAAAATAACCAGGCAGTGGTGGTGGTATGCGCCTTTAATCCTACCTAGCACTTGGGAGGCAGAGGCAGGTGAATCTCTATGAGTTCAAGGCTAGCCTGGTCTATATAGTGAGTTCCAGGACAGCTGGGCTAACAAAATAACCCTGTCTTGAAACACACACACACACACACACACACACACACACACACACACACACACACACACACGTATACACACTTCAGACTAAAATTAATCAGAAGAGATAAAGGACACTTCATTCATACATTACAGTTCTGTATGCACCAAACTCTGGCACACCCAATTTCATAAGAAACATACTATTGAACTTAAAGACAGGTTACTCCAATTCAATATTAGTGGGTGATTTCAGTACCCCACTTTTTCCAGTAGACAGGTCATCTGTACAAAAAAAATTAACAGAAACATCAGAATTAAGTGATATCATACATCAAATGGAACTAACAAATATGTACAGAATGTTTCACCTGAATACTAAAGAATATACATTCTACTCAGCAGGCCATGGATCCTTCTCTAAAATAGATAACACAGGCCAGGAGGTGGTGGCACATGCCTTTAATCCAACCACTCAGGAGGCAGATGCAGACTGATCTCTGAGTTCAAGGCCAGCCTAGTCTTCAGAATAAGTTCCAGGATAGCCAGGGCTACACAGAGAAACCCTGTCTCAACCTCCCTACCCCCCCCCCAAAAAAAAATCAGAAAAAGCATAAATAAGTGACTTGATGTAATTCAGTGATTTGGAAAAACAAGAACAAACCAAACCCAAATCCAATAGAGGGGAATAAATAAATAATAAATAATAAAAACAGCATAAATTAATGAAATGAAAAGAAAACACAAAGAATTAATGACTCTAAAAGCTGATTCTTTGACAAGCTATCAGCAGATCCCTGGCCCAACTAACCAAAGAAGCAAAGACATGATTCAAGTTAATAGAATTAGAGTTGAGCAGGGGAGCATCACAACAAACACCAATGAATTCAGAGTGCTGTAAGGGAATACTTTCTCCACTGGGTTAGAACCTCTAAAGTGGACAAGACACACATATGGTGCACCTGCATGCAAGCAAAACACGCATAAATTCTTCAAAGAATTTTTAATGTGATGGGTGTTTTGCCTGCATGTATGTCTGTGCACCACGTTTATCCTGGTTCCTACAGAAGCCAGAGAGGCGCTGAAATCCCCTGGAGTTAAGTTAACTGGAGTTCAGTTGTTAGCTGTTTTGTGGGTGCTGGGACTTGAACCCGAGACCTGGACGAGAGCCAGTGCTCTTACCTGCTGAGCCAGCCATCTTGTATCTGACTCTCCTTCTTCTTTTTTTTTTTTTTTTTTTTTGGTTTTTCGAGACAGGGTTTCTCTGTGTAGCTTTGCGCCTTTCCTGGGACTCACTTGGTAGCCCAGGCTGGCCTCGAACTCACAGAGATCCGCCTGGCTCTGCCTCCCGAGTGCTGGGATTAAAGGCGTGCGCCACCACCGCCCGGCTTCCTTCTTCTTTTTTAATGTCAGCGATCTTAGTGAAAAGTACGGTTTTGATTTCCAGTTTTCTAATGACTGATGGCAGGATCTGTGTTTATTGGCCACTTGTATCTGCTCAAATGACTTCTCGTTTTCAATTGTGTTGTCTGTAAGAGTTTTGTAGATATTCTGAACACTGCATCCCTATATAATTTGCAAATATTTTCTTCTTGTCTTTTCATCCTTTAATCTTTTTAAATTACATTGTGTGTGTGTGTGTGTGTGTACACGTGTACACATATGTAAGGAGATCAGAAGACAGCCTTCAAAGAGTCCATTCTTTCCTTCCACCATATGGGTCCTGGGGATTGAACTCAGATCAGAAGGCTTAACAGCAAGTGCCTTTACCCACTGAACCATCTCACTGGCCCCAAAGTTTTTCATTTTAATAAAGTTCATTTATATATTTATTTTTGTTGTTTGTGCTGTTGGTATCATTTCTCATATATATATATATATATATATATATATATATATATATATATATAATGTAACATATGTATTTCTCAATTTCAAGTCACAGAGATTTACTCCTAGTGAGTGTTCTGAGATTTTTATTTGTTTTGTTGCTTTGTATTTTTTGAGACAGGGTCTTTCTACATAGCTCTGGCTGTACTGGAACTCACTTTGTAGACCAGGCTGGTCTCTAACTCACAGAGATCTGTCTGCCTCTGACTCCTGAGTGCTGGGATTAAAGGAGTGTGCCACTACATCTGGCTTTCTTCTGAGAATTGTATAGTTTTAGCTCTTGCATGTAAAATTTTACCCATTTTGAACCAAGTTTTTTTGTGTGCTGTGAGGTAGGGCCAGCTTCGTTGTTTGCGTTCAGGACTCTAGTTGTCCTTGCACCCTTGGTGAAAAGATTATCCTTTCCTTTACATCATCTTTTGATTGCTAACCATTGTAATCATTGGTCGTTGTCTTAGTTAGGGTTACTACAGCTGTGATGAAACACCATGACCAAAGCAAGCTGGGGAGGAGAGGGTATATTCAGCTTATGCGTCCACATCACAATTCATCATCAAAGGAAGTCAGGACAGGAACTCAGGAAGGGCTGGAGGCAGGAGCTGATGCAGAGGCCATGGAAGGGTGCTACTTATTGGCTTGCTCAGCCTGCTTTCTTAGAGAATCTAGGACCACCAGCCCAGGAATAGCACCACCCGCAAAGGGCTAGGCTCTCCTCCATCAATCACTAATTAAGAAATACAGGCTTACCTTAGAACCTGATCTTATGGAGGCATTTTCTCAACTGAGGCTTCCTCCTCTCTGATAACTCTAGCTTGTGTCAAATTGCCATAAAGCTAGCCAGACACCTTGATGTGGGCTTGTGGTTTGTTTCTGGGCTCCTATTTCTTCTCCCATTGACATCCATAGCAATGCCAAGACTGTGGTCCTTAATTATCGTAGCCACATGGTAAGCTTTGGTTTGGATAGGTGTGAGCATCCCTGCTGCTGTGTTTCTAGAGTTGGCTTTTCTAAGTCCACATAGTTCCAAATGAATTTTAGGATCAAGTTTTCAGTTTCTGCTCTACCTCCCAGGAGGTAAAACTTTGACAGGGATTTCATTCAGTTTGATATCACTTTGGGAAATTGTGACCTAATACTTATGATTCATGAACTTCTGGTAGCATTCCATTTAATTGAGTTGTTTATTTTCAGTGTTTTACAGTTTTTTATAGGTCACTTCTTTAAAAAAAAATCCCTAAGTACTTTAACACTTTTATACATATTATTGTTCTAAGTTCTCTGTTTAGATTATTTGTTGCTAATGTACAAAAATACAGTTGATTTTTATTTTGATCTTGTATCCTGCCACTTTGTGAAGCTTTTCTGTTGGTTCTAATAGCTATGTATATTTCTGTGTATTCCTCAGAATTCTCTGTGCACAATCCTGGTATCCATGAAAAGAGATATTTTTTCTCCCCACTCCCCTGCCCTGCCCCTCCCCCTCTTGTGCCTAATTGCTCTGGTCAGCAGCTCCAGTCCAGTGTTGAATGGATGTGAGCAGAGCTGAGATCTCCATCTCACTCCTGACCTCCCACACATGCACTGAGGGTGATTTCAGCTGTGGGTTTTTGTAGATGCTCTTTATCATGTGTCTTCTTTTAATTTGAATGAAGTCGTTGTAGTTTTTCTTTTGTTGCTTGTGGTCTGGGTGTCATGTCAAAGAAACCATTGCCTAATTTCAAGCCACAAGGATTTACTATTTTCTTCTGAGAGCTGTTTTTTGTCATTATTTTTCCTTTCCTTTTTTTTGCTTTGTTTTGAAACATGGTCTCACTACATAGCCCTGGCTGGCCTGAAACTCAGAGATATACCTGCCTCTGTGTCCCAAGTGCTGAGATTAAAGACATGTACTACCACTCTGGGCCTGAGAGAGTTGTACCGTTTTAGGCCTTATGTGTAGAGACTTTAATCCATTTTGAGTCAACTATTGTGTGTGTGTTGTTGAGTGTTTTGTCTTAAAAGGTTCAATTTTATAAAATGCTTTTGCCCCACTAATAAATGCTTTTCCTATACTTATTGAATTGATCATATGACTGTCCAGACAGACTGGATATATTATATGCTGTTCATACGTTAAACTAACCTTGCATTCATGGGATAAACTCCCTTTGCTCATGGTGTCTAATCCTTTTCATGTGCTCATCCCTTGCTGGTATTTTACATCTGGTCTCCAGTTTTCTTGTGTTGCTGTGTTCTAGCTTTGGAATCTGGTGCCTCTGACCTTATAGATTGAGTTGAAAAGTTTTCCTTTCTCTCTTCTATTTTAGGAGAGTTAGTGAAGAATTGGAATTAATTAATTAATTAATTAATTAATTAATTGGTATTAAACATTAGGTGGAATGTATCAGTAAAGCCATCTGGCTTTAGACTTTTTTGTTTGTTTGTTTTGTTTGTTTCTCTGTGTAGCCCTGGCTGTCCTGGAACTAACTTTGTAAACCAGGCAGGCCTTGAACTCAGAGATCTACCTGCCTCTGCCTCCCAAGTGCTGGGATTAAAGGTGTGTGCCACTACCACCTGGCTCCATGTTATTTTTCCATTTTTTCATTTTATAGATTTCTGATTTTAATTATTTCTTTAGGGTTGTTTTGGATATCATTTTCTCTTCCTTTTCATATTTTTTAAATTAGAAACAATTAGCTTATTAACTTAAAATCTTTATTTTGGTAGATGTATTTATAGCTGCAACTTTTGATCTAAGCATTATTTTACAATCATCTTATAAGGTTTTTCATGTTGTGTTTTTGTCTTTTAAATTTTTGTTTTGTTTTTGAGACAGGGTCTTACCTTACCCAGGCTAGCCTTAAACTTCGATCTTCCTGCCTCCTCCTCTCAAGTACTGGGATTCAAAGGCATATGCCCCCACAATCCAGAACTTTTTTTTTTTTAATTTCAAAGAACTTTCTAATTTTTCAGTTATTCTTTACTCAATTGATTAGAAGTTTGTTGTTTAATTTCCATAAATATGAGACATCCCTTATGTTACTGATTTCTTATTCTTACTGAAGAATATACTTTGTATGATTTCAAGTCACCCTAAGCACACTGACCTATCTGCCAGGGAACCAGCCACTGTTTACTTCTGTCCTGGTGCTGCTCAGGAGGCTCTGTGCTGCCTGCAAACTGCACCCTCCTGGTGTGCTGGCCAACCTTCCCTTATCTGTCCTTTGAAGCCGGATGTTGAAGTCTTCAGCTGTTGCCTCTGTTGCCCTCATTCTGTTAGTTTTAGCCTCATGATTTTAGGGCCCGTGGTAAGCTCTTTTATACTTGCCATTTCTTCCTAAGGGACGGACCCTTCCTTGTCTTTGGCCTGGAGTCTCACTCGTCCGGTAATAGTGTAACCACTCAGTCTCTGGATGACTGCTTCTGTGGCATATCTTTTCCCACTCTTTCTCCTTCATGGTGTCTGTGTAGCTGTATTTCCTGCCCACCGTGTAGACTGACAGTGTTCATCTCTCCCCTCATTTCTGCAGCCCGAGAGGAGTCTCTCAATCTGTTTCCATTCACTAGTGTTGCTGATAGGTGTGGACGTACACCTGCTGCTTTCTGTTTGTTTCCTCTGTTTTTGTGTTGTGTAAGTGAGTATTTAATCCCTTGTAACCTCTCCTAAGTTCCTGCCTCCGCAAGATCCTGGAGTTCAAAACCCCAACCAAGCACTTGGTACCATAGTCTCCAACCACAAGCTGCTGTTCTCGAGTTACAGCGTGTCTTGTAGGAGTGTCCTTGATGTTGGCATCCAACACTCAATTTCTAGTGTTTCTCGTTTGGAACAGTCCTGTGATTGACAACTAGCTGCTTGTGAAAGTGTGTTTTGTGTGGACAGCTGTGTGCTGAGTAACATGTTGGGGATTTTCCCTGCCCTTCTGCTGAAATTTCGGGATCTAATGAAGAAGACGTAGGAGCATCAAAGCCAATGATGACCAAGCACACATGGAAGTCAGACAGAGCTGGGCTGGGAACTTGCTTATGTTTTCTGGGGTTTTGCTTTTTGAGACAAGGTCTTGGTCCGTATACCTCAGGCTGACCTGGAACTCAAGGGCCTCCTGCCTTAGCCTCTTGAACGCTGAGATCACAGGTGTGTGCTACCAGAAACAGCTGTATTTGTGTGTGCAGTGCTGGGAACTGAACCCAAGGCCTTATACATGGTGTGTGCGTGTGTGTGTGTGTGTGTGTGTGTGTGTGTGTGTGTGTGTGTGTGTGTGTGTGTTCTGCCGATGAACTGCACCCTACCCCTCAGCCATCCTTCACTAAACATCCCAGGGGATTGGCTATTAGGAACCTTTGTTCCCACCAGAGTTTTGAAAAGTTTGTTTTTGTTAGTTACTGCTATGAACAATGGTCCTCACTCTTCTTCTAGAAGGATCTCCCTGCAGGACACAGCTGTGAGGATGGATGTGCTGTTCTGCATCAGCCCTTACCCATTGCTACATGCAGGTACACAACAATCTGGAATTGGAACTGCTGAGCCCAGGTGTTAGCATGATTATTCCTTGTTTTCTTCCATTATTTTTGTGTATCCATATTCCCCTTTAAATCACTGGCCTAAAAAATATGAACTAGGAGATACCATTTTTACAATTCAGGCAGCTAACTGCTTGTCCGTATACACCTTTTCTCAGATCTGAAAGAGCACCTGTACTGTGTGTTCAAGTCCCAGTTTTAGTGGTTCTGGTTTGGTACTTGAGCTGACTACCTGGTGGGATACAGGCAGCCTTTTTTATTTATGCAGCTTTGTGATACAAGTTTAGGCCAGAGAGCTAAATATAATATAAATATAACAGAGTATATTTCTGTTGTGAGGTAAAATGGCAACATCAGGGATGGGGTAGAAAGAGAGTTTGTAAGGTGGGACTCGGGACTACCTGGGTTAGCCTGGTGATGTCTGTATTCTCTTTTTCAGTGGGTCTCCCTGACTTTATTCTAAGAAAAATCTTGTCAGTGTGGCTGGCAGGATGGGAGCAAGGCAGGGACTGCAGTGAGGGTCTGGGCAGTGCCGCTCAGCTGGGCACTGTCCACAGGCCTTCCACAGTACCCAGCACCCAGTCTCTCTGTATTTGCTGCAGTTTAGGCTCCTGAGTCAGGGATAACAGGTCAGAGTACCTGAGTCCAAGGGGGTCCAGGCTCAGAGCTGGGAGAAAGGCAGCTGCTGGCCCTTGGGATTCAACAGCTTCTTCCCCTGCTCAAGGCTGTGGGTCCTGGGGGTGGACTGCAGTGAAGGGAAGAGGCAGGACTCGCAGGCTTTTGGGAAGGCAGAGGCAGCCAGCTGAAGGCTCCATGGACGATGTCCATTAGGGCTGTGAATAGGGTTGACAGTTACAGTTGCCAGCACCCCAAGGGCCAGATTGAGCTCTGGGCCTTATCCTAGGAGCAGTCACAGGGCTGTCACTAGTCAGGTGCTGGCCTGGAGGTGTTGGGGCTGGCCAGACCCAACTGGCTAGGCGTCAGCGACAGCAGAGTAAATGGACACTGTTACAAAAATGAGTATCGGAATGAATTTGAAAACTAAAATAGAGTTCTGGGATGTTTGTCAGAAATCAGTGCTGGCCGGTCAGGAGGCCACATGATACCATTAGGATTATATCTGTTTCCAGATGGTGGAACAGCAGGCAAGCATGCAGGCTGCTCACAGCCTGAGGAAACACTGCTGTGTCAGCTTGGCTGGAATTTAGTCATACTGCCCAGCAGCCCTGTCCAAGAAGCAAAACTTGTTTTTGATTTTTCATGGGTTTGTGTGTGTGTGTGTGTGTGTGTGTGTGTGTGTGTGTGTGTGTGTGTGTGTGTGTATGTGTATGTGTATGTGTTTGAGGCACAGTCTCATGTATCCCAGGCTGGCCTCAAACTCACCGTGTAGTCAAGGATGATCTTGAACTTGAATCAGCCTGCCTCCCTCTTGTGAGTCCTAGGATTACAGACATGCACTACCATATCCCAGTTAAGCAGTGTTGGAGACTGAACCCAGGGCCTTATGTTTGCTAGGCAAGCACTCTACCAGCTGAGCTTGATCATCAGCACCAGAACCTAGTCTTTATTCCCTGGAAGAGCTAATCGATAGTACAATTAGTGCTGTACCCAAAGGTGGCTGCCATGAAGAACTTCCCTGGAGGCTGTGGAATGCAAACATCCCGGATGTGGACTTGTGGGAAGGTGACAGGATCCTGTAGGGGAGGGCCTCTATGAGACTGTGTGAGGCCAGGCTGTCCTGGGGGTGGGACACAGTGTAAAGCACACCCTATGGTGGCAGGGCAGGCCTCATTCCTGCTTCCTCCCCTCGCTGGCTGTTCCTTCCCATCCTAGGG